AGAGAGAGAGAGAGAGAGAGAGAGAGAGAGAGTAGCGAAGCTTCTAGCAACATGTACGATCTAAAAACAAAGTCAAGTCCAATACCTTTCTGTCGCCTGGCCCCAGATAGACTCAGTCAGCTCCCCTAGAGCGAATGTGTGTCCACATCAGCCGGTATTTGTGTCATGACGGGCGGAATCAGGCCTTCAGTCAAGTTTTGGCCATACGAAGTTATTCATCATCATCATCATCATCATCATCATCATCATCATCATCATCATCATCATCATCATCATCGTTGCCTTTCTCCCCCTGGATCAGGATATAGGCCACGAGCAAACACTTACACGAAAGTATTGGCGTTATCTTAAAACTTGTTTGTTTTCCTTGCTTCCAATGAAAAAAAGATACGTCTGTCTTGAATTTTGTGATTTGTGTTTGAAGGGGAAGAGGGGGGGGGGTCGCCTGGTGTCAGAGGTCAATTTAACGAGAGGTTGGCCAATATAATTTACTTGAGTGTCCTCGAAAACAGTATTTTAAAAGAATAATATGATCAACAGGTTTTTCGAAAAGTTGTTTTAGTTTTAGTAAGGGTTTTAAGGTGCTCGCAACTGCATAAGATCATATGAGCGCCAAGGTTGTGAATGTCAACAGAGCAGTCCAAACGGGGAATCAGACTTACTCAACTCTAGCCTCAACAGCACAAAGTCTGCTTCGACTGTCAAGGCACCCCGGAAATAGCAGGTCACAAGGGGGAGACAAACACACAAAAGAAGTAGAGGAAAAATGACGATAGTAAGGATTAAGAAAATAAAACCCCAGCAGTTCCCCCTCTGTTCCGGCACAGTATGAACATGCCCTGTGGGAGTGTGTGGAGGGGGAGGGGGTGCATAACAAAGGACAACCACATAAAACAGTGTTTTTAAATAGATGTAAAAAGTGTTGAGCCAAAAAGAAAAAGAAAAGAAAATGGACCCAAATGATTACCCATCAGATGGAGAAAAACAACAACAACAACAACATTGGTTTCTTCCATTTCCTTATTTTTCACGAGCGCCTGTTTATCCCAGGACCGCACACACTCATCTCGACCTGTCTCTCGACCTGTCTCTCGGCCTGACTCTCGACCTGTCTCTCGACCTGTCTCTCGACCTGACTCTCGACCTGTCTCTCGACCGGTCTCTCGACCTGTCTCTCGACCTGACTCTCGACCTGTCTCTCGACCTGTCTCTCGACCTGTCTCTCGACCTGTCTCTCGACCTGACTCTCGACCTCTCTCTCGACCTGTCTCTCGACCTGTCTCTCGACCTGTCTCTCGACCTGTCTCTCGACCTGTCTCTCTCTGACCCGCCGCTGTAGGTCGTGAAATCTTGTTAGCGGATATCTTATAACTCTTCTTCCCTGGTGGTTGGCTAGTGGGTGGTTGGCGGGTGCTCTGGTGTTGTTTTATCCTTCTTTCCTATCAAAAGCTATCTTCCTTCTCTCTCCTCCTCCTCTTTTGTGTTTGTTACTCTCTTGTAACTCCTCTATTTCTCGGCACTTATATGATCGTATTGTGTTGCAAGTGCCGTAAAACTCTTACTAAAACTTGAAGTTGTTTGCAAGTAGCTCTGGTGTGGTTTGCCTCTTTTCTTTCGAACATCTCTCGTCCTTATCTTTCCTTTTTTCATTGAGTCATCACTAGTAACACCTCAAAATGTCGGCAATTATAATCAAAATATTGATATTATATTATTATTATTATAATTATTATTATTTTTATTATTATTATTATTATTATTATTATTATTAT